GTGTGTGTTGTGTGTGTGTACATGTATACATATATGTGTTTATATATTATGTATACATGTGCAGCTGTGTGACCATGTGTATAGATAGATAAGAGAGAGAGCAGAGACGAGAGAGAGCAGAGATTCTTATGTCACTTGCAGAATGGACCATCCACCAAACTTCTATCCATGATTGATACCTATGCGATCCATGAAAGATATGAAGCAGACTTTACATATATATATATATATATATATATATTTAATAATATATTATATATATATATATATATATATATATATATATACTATATATTATATATATATGAGAAATGGGTATGCTGGTACCAAGCATAAAAAATTATGTTTTAGTGCAGGTGGCCCATAATCCCCTCCACTCATTCAAATAGTACTTACATATTCACATGCCCCACTCCTCAACCCATGCTGAAATGTGGTCGCCTCATTTAAATAAGTGAAGGGGATTGTGCCACCCTCACTACGTACCGAAGCATAAAATTTGTGTTTGGTACCAAGCTATACCCAGCTCTCTCTCTCTCTCTCTCTCTTCTCTCTCTCTCTCTCATATATATATTATATATATATATATATATATTATATTATATTATATATATGAATATATATATATATATATATATATATATATATATATATATGAGAAAAATGAGTATGTTTGGTACCAAGCACAAATTTTGTGCTTGGTAGTGAGGTGTCATATTCCCATCCACTTATTCCAATTTTCAACCACTCCCCAACCTATGTGAATGTGAGCCCTGATTTTAATAAGTGGAGGGGAATATGTCATCTCACTACAAAGCACAAAAACTTATGCTTGGTACCAAGCATACCCATTTCTTTCTCTCTCTATATATATAATATAAATAAATTTAATAACCGGGCGGGACCGGGGCCGAGCCGGGTTTCACCAATACAACCCGGACTTGGGCTCAGAGCCCGGTCAGTCCGNGCCTGGCCGGATCCGAGCTGAACACCGAGACGGGTCCGGGTTGAAGCCCAAATGGGCACCCCTAACGAGATGGCCCACTTATTATTTTTTATTTTTTGGATTCTTTATATGGTTTTTAATTTTTTTAATAGTTTTTATGCATTGTTTAACACTAAAAATATATATATAATTAACTAACAATGCTACCATTATAGAAATGGAAAATAATTTTATTAAGTAAAATTGTATATTTGTATAGAATGACAAAGAGAAACATCACACACACAGAAATTTTATGTGGTTCGGAGCAAGTCCTAGTCCACGGGTAGCAACTAATCGTTCCACTAGTTTAAAATACATAAATTATAACAAACTTTAAGAAAATAAAAATAGATAAAATATGTCAACTTGTAATAGAGTTCAATATCAATGAAAATAAAAATAGATAAAATATGTCAACTTGTAATAGAGTTCAATATCAATGATTGTGTAGGCAAAGCTCCAAGTGAAAAAAATTATGGGCGAGCAGTGAGCTAGCGGGCCGGGTTTAGCGAGTCAGCTCGGTCACATACAGGCCCAGCTCATTCTCTGCACTCTGTAGACCGAGCGAGTTGTCGGCCCGCTTTTTGCTAAAGGTCAGCTCAGCCAGAACCCATGGCCCACTACTGTAGAGGGCCGAATCTGTCAGGCCACGCATCGGGCCGAGTCATGCTAAGGTTAAATGCGTGTCGAGCCAGTGGGTTCATGGGCCGACCCAGCCCAGTGCTCATCCCTAAATGGAATTAGAGATCAATAAGCATTAATTAACTGATAAGCAGATATTTAAAGAGAAAAACAGCTTATAATTAAGCTGGGTTTTTCAGTAGCAGAAACTGAACAAGGTTGCTTTTCAAAATACTCCATAAAGGATTAGAGATTTTGCTGTTGGAATTTTTCAAATTGCGGTATCGGGTGACAATTTACCTTTCGTAGAAAGGGGAAAAACTGAAGGAAGGAAGAAAGAAAAAGGGTTCACATCCCTTTCGGCTAAATACCCATATTGGTATTTTAATTCCAGCCCATTTATCAAGAAAGTATTTTAATTAGGCAAACATACTTTAAGACATTTTAATTGATTCAACTTACCAACAATACCCTTTTTCTCGTCGGCGACCAGTTTTCCGGCGAGAGCTCGTCACGTGCGTGGCACGTGATAGCTTAAACTGTTTTTTAGCTGCTGATGTGACACGGATTTTCTGACGTGGCGGTGTTTAAAGGTGGGAATTAACCCTCTAAAAATCCCAATTCACCCAAAATGGGATAGATCCGTGCCACATTAGCAGCTAAAAATCAGTTTAAGTCATCACGTGCCACGCACGTGATGAGCTCTCGCCGAAAAACTAGTCGCCAACGAGAAAAATGGTCTTGTTGGTAAGTTGAATCAATTAAAATTCCTTAAAGCAGGTTTGCCTAATTAAAATACCTTCTTGGTAAATGGGGTGGAATTAATACCAATATAGGTATTTAGCCCATCCCTTTCACGTGGTTAAAATAAGTTACACAAATCTTTCTTTTTCTTCTTCTTGTAGTTAACTAAATGGGTACAGCCAAACACTTTAAAGAAAAACAACTAAAATAGAACAAGTTCAATGGTTAGGCTGCATATAAATTGTTTTTTCAAACTTCTATTTTCAGAAATAACAGCAACCTATGAACTTTTATTATGACAATTTCACGTGATGTAATTTAGGAGAATGTCAATCAGTAGAGCAAAATTTCAATTCTTTATCGGTTCTAAGCCTCTTAATTTTTCTATCAGTCTTCTTCTCAATCAATGTTTTCCACTGCTTAAAATGTTTGAACACTTTCATTCTTGCACTTTAGCATGTAAACCCAAACTTTTCTTGAGTAGTCATCGATGAATGTCAACATATACCTAGCATCGCCCTTCGAAGGAACACGTGAAGGACACCATAAATCAGAATTGATGTAATCTAAAGTGCCTTTGGTTTTATGCACAGCTGTATTGAAACTAATATGTTTTTACTTGTCAAGAATGTAATGCTCTAAATCCATATTTCCTATACTCTAACCATGAAAAACTCTCCCCTTGCTGAGTATAGTCATGTCCCTCTCGCTCATATGACCCAATCTCATATGCTATATATTGGTGGCGTTGGTCTCTGAAAACGATGATGTAGTAACCGCAACCACACTTGTAACTGTCTTTTCTTACAATATGTAGAGATTATCTTACCTTTTTTGCTTTTATGATAGCAAGAGCATGTCTGAAAACTGTCAAAACTGCACCTTCAGCTGAATACTTGCACCTGATAGTTTCAAGGGTGCCAAGAGAGAGGAGATTTTTCATTAAATCTGGAACATGAGGAACATCTTATAATGTGCTCACAACGCCATCATGAATTCTAACTTCAATTGTACCAATGCCAATCACTTTACAATGAGAATCGTTTCCCATATGGACAACTCCACCTTCAACTGATTTGTAGGTGGAAAACTAAATTCTATTAGAGCACATGTGATAGGTACAACCGGAGTCTAAGATCCAATCATCTTTGGACCTACCTGAATTTGTAGCTAAAAGAACAAAACTATCAGAATCATCCTCAACAACACTAGCCTCTCTAGAGTCTTTTTTGACCTGATTTTTCTTCTTTTCTTTATTCTGAAGCTTCCAACTCTCGTTCATGACATGCCCTTTCTTCTTGCAATATTTACAGAATTTGCTCTTAGTCTTCCACTTTGATCTCAACTTATTTTTATTGTTAAAATCACGCTCCACATTTCTACCTTGAGCATGTAAGGCTTTAACTTTATCATCACTTGATCTAGTCAACTCCTTATCCATCAACTCTTTCAAAAATAAACATGATTTCACATCTTCCATCAATATAGATTCTCTGTATCATAATTACCTTTACATCTGCATTCTCAAAATCCATAATAATACAATTGAATTCTTCAATATGTGATTTAATAGATGTACCTTCTGTCATGCAAAGTATAAACAGCCTTTGTTTCAAGTGCAGTCGGTTGGTAAGGGTTTTTATCTTGTAAAGAGATTCTAATTTGAGCCATAGATCCACTGCAGTCTTCTCATGCACGACTTCCCGAAGAGTCTTATTTGACAAATACAATTAGATTGAAGTTAATACCTTTTCATCTATCTCGAACTTTTCATCATCAGTCATCACGCCGGCAACTTATCTTTTCCCAACAAAGCTTTCTGTAATCCTTGTTTAACAAGAATAGCCCGTATTTTAATAAACTACATAGTATCAAAGCTTTGGTTGTGATTTGTTTTGTGCGCAAAGAAGATGTTTGTGAAATACTTGCGAAAAACAAGCACGAGAATAAATGACAAGCAATCGTAAATACAGAGATTTACATGGTTGGGCTACATCCATGGCAGAGGCATTGGAGAAATTTTACTATCAAAAGAGAAAAATGTACAAAAATAAGACAAAAGCCTAAACATTCAAACTCTCCTTTTTCAACCCTCAAATCTTGATTCAACCCTCAAAAAAACCTAATCTAAACTCTCTCTATTTTAATATATTGGAGACCACAATAGATCATGAAAAAGTACCCAAAACTAGGTAGAAGTTAGAGATTAAAATAAAAACAAATGGCTGAGATTAAATCATCAAAAACTGCAATTAGCATTGTAACCATCGATGGTCAAACATGACCACATCGATGATTCCCTTTAATTCAATGATGGTTTCAAAATCATATTTCTGTTTTTTCTCTCATTGTTCACTGTAACCCATCGATGACCGAAGTGGCCATTGATGGTCTCCTCTTGACCATCGATGATCCATTGGCTGAATTGAACAATTTTAGGGTTTTAGGGCATAATTTCAATACTTCCTTTAGATTCCATCATATGATGTTTTTCCCCATCAAAGAGCCAGATTCATATACAGAACGCCAATTGATTAATTTTTTGATTAATCAAGGTAAAACCCGACTATATTTGCAGGAAACTAGCTGGCATCAAAATCATCACATTATGAAGTCGAAGAGGGAAAAAAAAAAAACAAGTCCAAAATGATCAAAAGCTATGACTCCCGTGTTCATTCTCAAGAGAAACGTGGACAACAAGAAAATTGGTTGTACAATAGAACACAAGAATATGAGTTTCGTAACCGTTATGAATGTTGCATATTACACTAAGAAAATAGTATATACATAAAACGCACTAATCCAATCTAGAATTATTTTCTAATCTGTGTTTATCAACCAATCTTCTCCGTGTTCGTATCATCAGATGGCCATATGACAGTTTCCATGAGCCTTTCGCGCATCAACTCCAAATTCTCCTCAGAAATTCGTTCGTACATCTTCGCATGATCACATTTCTAATCATAAAATAAAATAAAATAAAATAAAATAAATAAATAAATAACAATGACGCTTGATGAGTTAAGTTGTAAAAGGATCATTAATCATTGGAGTTTACCTTGATCCATTGCCCATATAAGTGAAGGCGTGTAATCATCACTCTTTCAGCTAGATCTTGTTTCTCCTGCATTTCGAGCAAGAAAATTAATAATAGTGCACAATCAATACAATGGTACTAAAATTAAGTTTCTTTTTGCATGGCGCGATTTAAAATAAAAAATAAAAAAAAAGTTTACCTTTCCAAGATGACGAAGGAAGCGCTTAGCATCAGTCGGCTTGTTTGTTGCCATATAACTATTAGAAAAAATAAGTTATCATAGTAATCCAACATATATCATTGTCACACTCGACTATTTTGCATCATCCAGAATAATTAATACGGGATCGGTGTAATGTTAACGATATATACAGATGACTTACTTATAGAGCCATCTGTACTTTGGCGGATTCATTTCGTAGAGCTGGTGAAGAACAGTCCTTGCAGCTTTGTATGTAAAGTAATTGATGATTTGCTGTAAATCAAGAGATTGCCGGTAGTTAATCAAATGCTTGAAGAGTGGAAACCTAGGAGTCGTGATTAAGATATTTGTCAAGTAACAGAATCAGAAGTTAAAAAAATAAATGACTGAAGGGTGTCTGTGTTTGTTTGAAGGAGAAAGACGGGACTCATATGAGCAAGCCATACACATCGATGACATGAAAAGATATATACTGGTATTGTAATCCTAATGATCGACTGAGAAAAACAAAACTACTTCAGATTATTTGCATTCGCAGAATTTTTCATAATATCAAAATCACCAAATAGATCAAACCAATTTATCCCTCTCATGCAGCCCTTTGAGGTACTTAAGCCCCCTCAAAGCTTGAAATAATGCAGATGCTAATGCCGACCATCCTAATTCATACATTGCTATATCATCCACATGAATTTCTGAGTTGATGTAAAACACCAACTCGAACAAATTAAAAATATAAAATCCTAGCATAATACTTCAAACATTACTATGGCATACCATTGTAGAATACACCATCACTTGAAGAAATCCTAGTTCAATAATTTCATTAAAAAATAGAAAAATAACTAAGGTGAATAAATCCACAAATGAAATTGAATCTTGTAACAACAAAATCGAATTTTAATTCCATTTATTATCTCCTATCTATGTCAGGGGCCATCTATTTTCATGGACCTTTAGCTAATTAAAAGCCTAGAAATCCACGTGACCGAAAAAGGAAAAGCTCTTAATTTTGGGTTCTTGGATTTTCAACATGTTCTAACCATCATAACCATCAATGCAAAGATTTGAAATTGAATATGGTGCATGGATGAATGCTGACTCAACTGGAAGATAACTAGATACCTGAAAATTTCTATTTGAGAATCAAACATATATATGTTGGAGTTGTGGTGTCTGATTGGATTGTGCAGGCCGAAAATTAGAAGGATAAATCGGTTATCCTACATATGTCTACATATGTGTGCGTGTGTATGAGACCTCGGAAAGAAAGAAATCCTAGTGCGGCCGCCGTGGATGTAGGCAAATTGACAAACCACGTAAAATCTGTGTCTTTGTGTTTGCTTTTCTCTTATTCATATTGTCTCTCTCTCAGTTGTAAGAGTTTCGATTCATAACAATATAGCTCTTAATAAGTCCTAAAGAAAGCCGTCCTTAAAGAATAACTTAATACCCAAGTATACTGATACAGATACAGACTAAAGAAACAAGTAACAGGAAAAGAGATTATTTACCCTGTGAACATCCTCAAAGCCCTCTTCATACTGCCCACCAAGCTCATTCACAACAACAAGGCCGCCTCCTCTCCTGCTCCTCCTCTTGCTCCTCTGCTGGTGATGCTTGCCGCATCTCAAAGGGTGCCACGTGTCAACAAAGGAGCTGCTGAGCTCCAGGGATCTGGGAGAACTCAGTCTAGTACCTGTCGTCGATCTGAAATTGAGGTTGAGGTTGAGATCAATAGCTCCAACTGCCACCGGCCCGACTCCCGCCATCCTTCTCACGATCCAAGTTTTCGCTTGTAGAACAAGAATCTCAAGAGAAGCCTCAGTATATAATGCTCTATATTTTTCTCTGTTTTTTGTTCAAATGGGTAGAATTGCATTGTATTTTACTTGGTCATTGGTTCATTTGTATGGTCTCCAGCCAACCAAATTTCTGTGGTCCGAGCTTCGCTTGCTTTTCAGTCGACGGAGAGAATTTTTCTCATTTTGGGAAAACATGTGGCGGGATTTGATTGGGACAGAGAGATGCATGAAGATTCAATAAACGGGCTTCTTGTGGTTTTTCCTCGCTTTGCAGGGCCCCAGATCTTGTGGACACAAGAGAGAGTAAAACCACGTGGTTGGGTGTGCGCTGTCGCCCGAAGATTCAATTCCAAACAGAGAGTTATTACACGTTATTGTTTATTGGTTGTCAAGGTGAAAATATTAGAAGTGGTTAATTACAGAAAACCCCCTGAGCTTTTGAGGGTTGTAATAACACCACCACCCACCAGCGGGAAAAAAAAAAGCTTTTTGTATACGCTAAACCTCCCAGAATTTTAGAGGTTATTGCACGTAACCACGCTAGGTTATTGCACGTAAACCCCGCAGAACTTTTTTATTTCCTTCAATCTTATCTAAAAGTTTGTATTTTAATTATCATATTAGCACTATCAACTCTAACGTAATTGGGTAAGCGCAGAACAAAAAACAAGATGAAGAATCCCTTCTTACTCTAAAAAAAAGACTTACTCTAAAAAAAGTACTCTTTTATTAAGAAAGAAAAATAAATAATTTTTTGAAACTAAGGAATTACTTTCTTTTTTTTTCGACACGTACATGCTTACCATATGATATGTCAGAATGGATGGTGCCTAAGTTGGAGATTAAATAAGAAATTTTTATGCAAAATTTAGCAGACTAAAAAGGGTGAGAGAGTTATCTGCAGTGGCCTCTAAAGTTTAAGGAAATTTAGTGAAATAAGAGAAGATTATGGGGGTTTAGTGCAAGTACCCCGAAAGTTCAGGGGAATTTTTCTGCAATTAGCCCTCATTAGTAGTAGTCTTTAAAAGTTATTTTAGAGGGCAGACATCAGCATCAAATTGATATTATGGATATGAAACACTGTTTGATGGCGTTTTGAGAAACATGAAAATGCTAACGTATCACTGATTGATTCAGTGATAACTCTCCAAATCAAAATCCCTAGAGAAAAAAGAAAATATTTTGCTGGAAAGTGGAAATTGTGTCAAAACCCCTATGAAACAGCAGCAAAAAGAAAATTTAAAAGAGAAAGTGACAATGTTTATATCCACGTTCTATATTGTTCTATATTGTGTCATAAATTCTGAACGTTTAAAAACACCAAAGAGCACCCCACTTCCACCTAATGACAAGCCTCCTCTGACTGTACTAGTATATTACATACACGTGTTGCACGTCAGCATACTTGTTTTATATTATAAAAATTTTAATATTTTCATAAATAAGGTATAAGATAAAAAATTTAATATTGCTTCGGAAGAAAATATTTTAACATTCTGTATACTTTTATAATAGTATAGGATAATTTTTTTAACATTTTCATGAACAATATATTAATACATTTTTATATAGGTTTATCAAATATGTTAAACTAACATAATAATGTACTAATGTACATATATAAACTGAACAAAATTTGATTTCTAAATTTTTTTAATAATACAGTGTGGGTTAGCTACTATTGGCAAAAAGCTAACAAAATTCATGGTTTAAAAAAAGTCGTTAATAGATTAGTAGGAGCAGTCACATAAAAAACACAAAACTCATTAAAATTAGAAGATGATTAAGTCCTCCACTGCATAAATTTCACAAAACCTCCTTAAGGTTGCTCTTTTCTGAGGTAATTCCTCTAAACTTTTAGAAATATATATCACTTACCCCCTCATGTTTTTTTTTTTTTTTTTTGTTCCCAGATAAGCACCTAATCATATGAGATCAGACCGTGCATTAGCATGACTAGAAAAAAAACCTTTCATGTCATTTTTAATAAGTTTAATGATAAATTTCACAAACCCCCATTATCTTCGGTCTAATTATGGGACTTAATTAGACAAAAAATGCATTCCACATCTTGTTTATATAAAAAAAAACACGAGATATAGAGACGCAATCAAGAACAGTACCTTGCAAAGCAAGCTCATCATCATTCGATCACAACTTTGACACCGATCTCCTTCAATTTCTCCACGACCGTCTCCGCCTCCTCATTCATAACTCTGCTCTTTCACTTCCCCACTTTCGCCTTCGCCGCCAATTCCTATCTCTGTGATTAATCACCAATTGCTCCCTGGACCCAGGTGAATTAAGAATAAATCACAAAATTATTTACATCCGATTTAAAAGAGAACGTGCTGTGTTAAAATAAAAAAAGAACGGATCGATGATGACATTGGCCAAAGAGGAATCCGACGAGGAAGGGTACTTTGACCTGGGGAATGAATAATGGAGCCCGTACTATTTTGTTCGCGGCTTCCGTCCTCTTCAATGGAGAACGATGCTTTAGATTATGATTTCTTTTTTTTTTTCCCTTTTTTTTTTTTGCATGTATTATTTGGAGTGTAGTAAAGCAAGGAGTGAAACTCCAGTCTGCGTATGAATTTGAAAGAAGCAGCGGATCAAATTTTCTAAACCGGTTGATGTGAAGGTAAAACGGTAGCAAAAGAATAATTATGTTTGTTATTAGAGGTAGCGCAAAAGGGTAATTATACTTGCAATTTATTTATTATTAATTAGAGAGAACTTAAAACCGTTATTCTCTGAGTATGCAAGGTAGGGGTGACAAACGGGTCAATCCGACCCAACTCAACCCATATAAATTTTGACCCGACCTATATAACATTGACCTAACCTGAGCCTGACCCATCAAATAATGAGGTCAACCTACTTATTAAACGGGTTACCCTCGACCCAAATCACCCATTTAATAGTTTTATAGTGTTTATTTACTTAACATAGAGTTCATGGTCAAAGTTTTTATGGTCCTATTAATCAGTCATAGGTTTTGAGTTGTTTAGAAATTAAGATATTTTCAGAGTTTTTTTTGAAAAATTTGAATTTTGAGGGTGTTTATTGTAAATTTTAAAAGTTCTAGTATTTCTTCAAATATTATTTTCTCAGTGGAAATTTTCTAATTCAAAAATCTTATACCCTTTGTAAGTTTTGACTTTTGGGGTTTTCTTTAATTTTTAAATTTTAGGGTGTTTTTTGAAATTTTTGAAGCTTTTACGATGTTTTCTGCAAATACCAAAATTTTCATATTACTGTTCATAAGTTGTAGATTTTGTACTGATTTGTAAGATTTCTTATTTCTAGGCTCTAGCGTGTATTTCTATAAAATTTGACCTTTTAATTGTGTATTTTGCAATTTTGAAACTTTAGCGTGTTTTCTACAAATTTCAAAATTGCACGTTGTTTGTTCATAAGTTGTAGATTGTGTACCATTTATAAATTTTGATATTCATGCACATATGCATATGACGATTCCTTTAAAAGCATGAGTTCAAAAAAAGATTTTCATGGTTAATATGACTCATCACTATTTTAAATATAATATGTAAATTTGAATTTATTCTAATTCAAATTATATCTTATACAAATCCCACATGAACTACTTATAGCTTAACAATTTAAAAAAAATAAAATAAGTAATATAGATGAAACAAAATTTTGAATAATTCATTTAAATTTTAACTTATCCTAATACTAAATATATCATCTACTAATCCAACGTAAACTACCTATAGCTCAACAATTTTTAAAAAAAATAAGATTAACAAATCATACATAGCTAACATATTAAAATACATGAAGTGTTTCAAAAAAAAACTCAAAAAAATTTAAAAAAATAAAACAAAATATCCTCAAAAGTTTAAAATTACACAAAACATAGTGACTTTTCGAAACTTAAATAACAAACATGGAATCTTGAAATAAACAATAGTCCATGAAGAATTTTAAATTTATAATTAAGACCATCAACATTTCAAAAATTGTAAAAACAACCTCAAAAGTCCAAATTACAAAAAAACACCTTAAATCTTAAAATTTTAAAACATGCAAATAACATAGATAAATTCAACAGATTACCATCCCGCACTTGAAATTTTAAAATTTACAAAATAACCTCAAATTTATAAAAATTATAAAATCTCCCTCAAAAGTTAAAAATCACAAAAAAACATCGAAACTTTAAAACTTATAACCAGTACACATCAAATCTATAAATTATCAGCATACCGCTGAAAATTTAAATTTTCCAAAAAACAACCCAAAGTTTCAATAATTTTGAAAAAAACTGAGTTTCAAGAAATATCATAACATTTAAAACCTTACCACCAACATACAAAACATGGAAATTATAAGCACTCAACTAAGAATTTAAAATTTTTAAAAAAACACTACCAAAGTTTTAAAAATTATAGATCACACCCTCAAAGTTTTAAAATCACAAAAGGGCTAAATTTTCTAAACTTGGCAAAGAAAAGAGTAATTGTTTGACATTCGTTCATTAAAATATATAAATTTAACTTCTACTTTAAATTTACTATCCGTTTTCAGCATCTAAAAACGGTCAAAGTTGATGCTGGTGAAAAAAGTAATAACAATAGATTAGAAATATCCAATTAAGGAATAAAAATTTAAAAAATATATGATAGATTAAAAATTAATGATATTGTATAAATTAAAGGAACTGCATATAATTTTACTAATAACATTAATTGATAGAAGTCTAAATTACATAAAATTGATAAAAGACTATAATATAATGGCTTAGTTTTAATTGATTATAATATATATACATTAATCTCTGATGTTAATAGTTTTTATAGGGTAAAAAGATACAAGAAGCTATGTGGATAAACTATCAGAAAGTTCAAAGATATCCTTCAAAAGAATCAATGTGTTTTCATTTCAAATTGAAATGTGAAGGAAATAAACCCAAAATTTAGAAACGTTCAGGCATCACTTGAATTGACATTGATAAATGACATATCTATCAAAGAAGCACCAACTGAGTTTTCCTTGAAGAACATATTAGACAACTTTGTCATAATCAAAAAGCATTCTCCATAAAAGGTACAAAAAAATTAGTAAGTATTTTTATATTTTTATACTTTTTTCTTCAAATACAAAAGTAATCATAAACTTAATATAAAATTACATATAAATAATATTTTAATAGAAATTAAAGTGAAGTCATTGATCAACTATGTTGCAAGATATAACAACCTAATAAGAGGAGAGAAATCACTATAGTAGACAAAAGGTATATATGTGATACTTATTTACAAAAGCGCAAGCGAAAAAATTAAAATCAACCTTTTTCTTTTTTCCATACAGTAGCATGACTATGTGTGCAACTTTATTAGAGATATGCTACCAATGAAGGATCAATTCTTGAAGACACAATTAAAGATAAGCATGTAACAGCACTATTAGATTTTAAAATATTTAAATATAAGGGTAGCATATTTTATTAGTAAAATTCTTATTAAAGACCACTAAACATAAAATTCACCTTACATTTGTCTCAAATTTATATGAGAGATATGCATGCCATTGTAAATTGTGTCAATAATGTATATCAACGCAAAGATATAACTTACTGAAGAAATAAGAGAATGATAAGTAAACCAAGAAAATATTCATATAACATAATAAAGAAAAAATATTACATTTTAACGCTAATGTGTAGTCAGAACAAGCTAGCAAGATAAAATTGCCTCCATCAAGGCTCTGTACAAATACAATACAAATTCAAATTACTGATACATGCATTCATCACAACATTCGAAAGAGGAATGCTCTTATAAAACCTACTCTAACATTTACACGATTAAGCCTAAAATAGTTTATCATTATATAGACACGCTATTATACTTATAATGCAAAGATGACTACCATTTCCAATAGAGTTAAGCCATGGTTCTTCACTTGCAAAGACTGCAACAAAAAAGTGATAGAAATGTTAATAAGAGTATCCAAATGATAAATGTCATAGAATTGCCAATAATGTAGTACCAGAGTTAAGTAATATCTCTTCTTCATGAAATAAACATATCAAAATCAAATATTAACATTATAATTTAAATATTAGCAATAAAAATACAGTTATTTAGTTTAGATCCTTGTGGAAAATGACACGGTCAAAGCAAATGTAATATTATTTGATGTAGCATAAACTCTTATTGGATGCACAACAAAAAATTTCATTTCATAGAAAAAACAGATAACATTTAACCTTATTTAAGTTATAAATTAGAAACACAAAAAAAATTTCATATATATAAAATTAACATTTATTCTCATTGAAGTAGAAAAAATAATCAAAATCTATGTATTTCGAGAAGTTTGTGTTGAACATCAAAAATACATGCAACATCTTTATGAAGTGAGATGAGAAGAAAAAAGATGAACGAGCCCAAAAAATATAATAGCACAAGAAATTCACCTCCAACTTGATGTCAAAATCGACATAGACAATGAAGACATTACTCTAGAATTGTCTAGGAAAAAGATAAAGATGGAGAACGATTGATCTCGACTCAATAAAAAAATAGAAAATAAAAAAAAAGAACTATTTTTTGAATATTTTATAGAATAGTTTAATTTTTTGAGTAAAATTAGGAATCTTTAGAATAGATTTTTATAAACCTTTTTAGTACTTTATATGCATATGTGGATGCTTTTATCGTATAAAAAAGTATTAAAGTTAGAATTATCTTTAGTTTATAATTTTTATGAAGTCTATTAATGATTAAGAACAACTTCATGTTCTCTTTAGTTTTGTTCTAGCCTACTTTTAATCAATTATCTTCATTTATTAGCTTCGATTATTTGTCTTACTTTTATGACGTTATTTTCCAAGTGTTTTTCACTTTCACAATACTATACTTTCTCAAATCAAGCTCTGTTTTATGTTGGCCCAAATAGCATAAAAATTCAAATTGGCTTCGGGTTATATTTATTTCATATCAATTCAATTATCAACATGAAAACTTATAGGGAAAAATGTGTCCAGGCCCCAAAAGTGGGAACTTCGTGTGACTAGCCCCCCTGTATTTTGCCCCATGTGGAATAGCCCCAAATATGCATAGTATTTGCGACGAGGCCCCGAATTGACTCTTTTCAGAAAAAGCCCAGCGGAAGTTACTATCTTGCCCTCTGATGGGACTGAGCTGGGTTAATGTGCCCCTCACCTTTTGTAGGCTGTCAAAAAATCACAATAGATAGCTGATCCTCATCAAACACCGATGATGGAAGTTACAATTTGACGACTTCCAGAAG